TCCCCTTTACCCTGTGAGAGCCACTCTGACTTTTCCTTTCTATTTCATTTCCAAAAAGTGCCCGTTGTGACCCTTCAAATAGGTCTCATCATACCGTAAGGCCACAACATGCGGATCAACCGCTTCTGACAGTCCTGGATGTAAGCTCACTCTTCAGGGGGCCTGGGCTCGGTGGTTTGTGGAGTGACTTTCTCCCACTGCCCAGCGCTGTGCGATGGTTCAGCATATAAATAGATTATAGCAATCCCCTTTTCTCCTTCTTCCCTTTTCTTTTTAAAAACAAAGAGCTGAAATGCCGTCAAACACGGAGATTATTTCGACTGGAACAGAGAGGGTCAAGAACCACTTAATAACGATCTTGTGAGGGAAATGCGGGTCAGGAATCAACTTTTATAAAGCAAATTACGTTTTCCCGTAGACTTTAATTGTAACTGTAACAGTGTTAGGTTGCTATTTCTACCGAGTTCTGACTCTGAGACCTCCTCTAAGTCCTGCGAGGGCCTTCCGTGGCCCACCCTGGCTTCTGCAGGGGAGGGCAGGCCTGGGACGGGCCGGCCTCCTCCCTCCCGGTGAGCGGAGGCATCTGTGGCAGCCGGGGGCCACCTTGCCCGGTCCTTCCAGCCTTTCCTGGCACGTGTCCGGCGGCCCCCGGACTGTCTGTCGTCGGGGACGGGATCCTGTGCGTGTTCGAGCCTGACCTTGCCCAGGACGGGCCGCTGGGATGTGAAGACGATGTCCGGGTGGCTGTGCGGTGGCCGGAAGCTTCCGGCGTGCCAGGCGGCTCCGTGTGATCAACCTGGAGCGCCGTGTGCGTGGACGCTGGTGTCAGAGGGTTGGTCCATCTGCTGGCCGGTTTTGCTTCGTGTCGTTTCTTCTGTGTTGCTGCACACACACCACCAGTTCCTGTGCTTCCGGGATCCGACAGGCTGTTGGTCCACGCGCTCGCTTAGGAGATGAGCTAAGGGGCGCCCGGGGGGCTCAGTCCATGAAACGCCTGACTGCTGGTCTCAGCTCAGGTCGTGAGCTCACGGGTGTGAGGTGGAGCCGGGCGTCAGGCTTGGCGCTCAGAGCGGAGCCTTCCTGGGACTCCGTCTCCCTCTCTCTCTGCCGCTTCCCACTCTCTCGCTCGCTCTCTCCCTCCCTCTCCCTCTCAAGTAAATAAAAATAAAAGAAAAAGGTGAGCGAAGGTCACTCTGAGGGCAAAGGATCTCGGAGGCGGCAGAGCTCCAGGGGGCGTAAGGCGCAGTGAGCAGGCGGTCAGACGGGCCTCGCCGCGGTCTCAGGGCCTACCCGGCTCCTGGCTCCACAGGCCGGGCCACCCGACCTCCAGGGTCTTCAGAGTAGGACAGGGGTGAAGGTTTTCCCTTCTGGTGAAGAGGCGTTTGTTCTCCTGTGAGATGCTCTCAGAGAAACCCTGTCCGCAGAGAAAGCGCATTCGGCCCAGGCGAAGCCGGGTCTGTTCAGACCGACGGAGGAACGTCCTCGTGGTGTGGAGAGGGACTCCCGGGGCCCGCGACCTTCCCGCCTTTACTCTCGTCTCTGAGGACAAGTGTCCCGTGCTGTCCAGGGCCGGTTCCGCCTCAGGAGCTGCTCGCCGGGCCCCAGCCACGGCCTCCCCAGGAGAAGGCTTCGGCGCCCAAGTGTGGCACCCGCCACGCTGTGGTCAGTGGGAGCTCGGTGACCGGCTCGCCGGGCTCCGGGTGTTCTGGGTGACGCATCTCGCCCACAACGTGCACCGGGATGTGTCTGTGCTGCGGGACCACGAGGGTTGTGTCCCGTGGAGGCACTAATAGTTCACCACTGCTGTTTGCTCCGTCCTGTCCGGACAGCTATGGAGACCAAACACGTTCACAAACGTCCTTTCCCTCAAAGACTTTGCAGAGTCGTGAAGACGTGAACCAGGAGAGGCCCCGTGGGTGGCCGTGGGGGTGGCTGGTGTGGAAGGGGGTGTTGGGGGGGTGCATGGGGGCCGGAATCCCGAGCCCGGGTGTGGTTCCAGCCTCTGCTCCCAGCCCAGCATCCCCCCCACCCCAGACACCAGGGCTCTGACCCCAACCCCTGGGGGGTCTCGTGCCCGCCAGTGACACTGATGGGGGTGCTGGGGGCTGGGCTCGGTGCTGCTCTGGATTCAACTGCACACGTGCAGACGCGTCTGTTTAAACTTCGGCGGGGACGCCCTTTCCTCGCTGGCCCCAGATCCTCTCTCACTAAGCGAATGCATAAAAAATCAATTTTTGTGTCTGTATTCTGTATCTTCCTGCAAAGACTCACACAGCAGTTTACAGAGGGATAGAGCTGGCCCCGGTTCTAAATTGATTTGGCCGCATTGGATACAGTCCTCCTTCCTCCAACATGACTTTTCAGTTATGGTAAAGCCCAAAGATCGCTTTTCACGCCTCTTTCGGTTTTAGGGTTCTTCCTGGACTTCTTAGGGTGCTCATGGCTAAACTGCCTGGTGGGTTGACTCCAGAGTAGCCAGACGGGAAGTCAGGACCCCCGTGAGCCCGGGGTTTTGATGCATTTCTTTGTATATGAAGGACCCTCGGGGCCTGCTGCTAATTTGCGGCTGGAAGAAAAGGGAAGGAGGAGATCTTTCCTCCTGTTCCCCTGAGGGCCAGAGCACCAAGTACAGAGCTTTCTGGACGTTTCCTGGGGCCACAGTGCTGGGCAGGGACATCAGTGCCAGTGGAGGGGACGCTGGACCGGGGCTGTCACGGGCCGGGACTGCCCACCAGGCTGCTTCCTGGGACTCGGCTCTGGAGAGAAACAGTGTCCCCTGGGACGAGGGGTCGAGTGGCTCTCCTGTCATTCACGTCCTTAAAGTGTCCGAGTCCTTTAGGAAGATGGCACGAGCCTGGGACCCCGGGAGGGAACGGGGCCAGGAGGAGAGGGCTCTCCCTACTCCCCCCTGCTCTCTCACACATGTGCGTGCACGCACACACGCGCACTCACACGCACACATGCACACTATAAGGAACTGGTTCACGCGGGTGTGCAGGCCAGGAGGTCCAAGATCTGCCTGGCAACCTGGTCACCCAGTGGGGGCCGATGGCGTGAGCTCTGGTCTGAGGATGAGTCTGACAGCGGGAGGAGGTCAACGCGCCAGCCTGACGATGTCCAGCAGAGAGAGTTCTCTCTTACTCAACCTTTTGTTCTGTTCGGGCTGTCAATAGATTGGATGAGGCCCACCCACGTCAGGGAGGGCCGTCCGCTGTACTCAGTCTACCCACTCACGTGGTGATCGCATCCAGAGGACCGTGTGACCGGATGTCTGGGCGCCGTGGCCCGGTCACGTTGACCCATAAGGTGGACCGTCACACGGACTGTCCCTTGTGCGTACACACCGCGTTCTGAATTGGATTTAGGAGGAATGGCCAGGAGGTACCACCTCCCAGGGCTTGTTAAAAAGGAAAGTACCCTTTTCTGTCTGTTTCCCCCAAAAGAAACATATCAGAAATCACCCGGGAACTCTCTCCTCCCGCCTAAGCTGTGGCCGCTCACTTCCAAAGCATCCGCAGGATTTGGAGCCCGGACGGCAGGCTGCCAGGACCCTCCGGGCAGGCCCCCCCGTCCCTAGTGGGTGTGCGTCCGGTGGGCTGACCCCCACGTTGCAGAGGACGGCTCTGGAGAAGCAGCCCCGGCTGGGGACCGACCCGCCGGGGGTACTTTGGAAAGTGGCGTCTCGAGCTCTGGCAGGCCGTGGGAAGCGACCGTCTGGCTCGGTGGGGTCAGTGGTCCGGATGAAGAATGGCCTCTTATGCCATCCCGTCCTCCGACCTCGGTCCCTTCACCTGTTCTCACTCCCTCCTCTGTGTCGGCGGCTGGGCCCAGCTAGTGGCGTCCTGATCCTCAGACCGTTGGAAACAGAGCGACGCAGCGGCTGGTCCCTGGGAGGCAGCCGACAGGGCGGCGGTGTTTGAAGGGAAGGATTAGTAAGGAGAACACAGAACCGGGCCCGTGAGGAAACTCTGCGTCCTCGCAGCATGGTTCTCTCGTTAATTACGAGAGCAGGAGTCCTTCTGACGGATCACGGATGCTCAGCTCTCCCCTGGGGGATCTGTCCTTTTCTCAGAGACAGCGGCTTCCTGGCTGGGGCAGGGAGGTGTGCCGGGCCGAGGGGTCGGTGCCTTTGACGGGCAGTCGGTGTGGCTCCCTGGTTAGTGGGTGTGAGGGAAGCATGTGGCTCAGCCACATCCCCACCCCCTCTGGCCCTGTGCTGCAGAGGCACGAAGGGGGAGGTGTGTGCAGGTGCAGGTGGGAGGAAGGTCGTCAGGAAGTAAGGAATTCGGTCCACGCGGGTTGGGAGAAAGGAGGGGCCGGGAGGGTGTTAGGAGAGAACAGGTCTGTGCTGGGGGAGAGCCCTTCACGCCCACCTCACCCTCGGAATACCTCATCCAGCCATCCATCCATCCATCATCCACCCACCCATCACCCATCCTCCCACCCATCCATCTCCCCTCCCTCCCTCCCTTCCTCCCTCCCTCCCTCCCTCTCTCCCTCCTCCATTAGCAGCACCTGTGGAATGCCCCCTTACTACACAACATGCCGGGGGCTGAGGAGGTGAAGAATAAGACACAGCCTCCCCTCCCCGCCCCCCCGACCCAGAAGTTCACAGCGCAGCGGGGGAGGACGTGAGGTAGACCACAACGCTGCCAGGGTGAGGAGGACTCTAGGAGAGGTGGGCACAGGTTCCCTGATGGGAAGAGAGGCTCCTGGTCAGACTCTGAAGGCGGAGGGATGGTTCCCGGGGAGGCACCCCTGAAGCCAGTCCTGGAGGGTGGACACGTTTTGGGGACCATCCTTCCCTCAGTGGGTTTTCCGGGAGACCCCCTTCCTGCCTCAGTGGAAGGTGAGCCCCCCTCCCCTGCGCCTCCCCGTCCCTCATCTGCGGACTTTCTTTCTCCCTGCTGCGTGGAGACAGGCTCAGATCTCTTTAATTTTAAGATCTTAAGACAATAATAGGAAAGCCCCTCCCGTGACCCTAATGCTTCAGCCGCGGGATGACCCGCGATGGCTTCAGCCGCGTTCTTCCGTGTACACTGAGTGCCTTGGAGGACAAGCCCGGGCTGTCTGCACCCTTCCAGCAGTCCCTTCCTTTCTGCAGTCCCTTCCAGCCTGGCCGCGCCCCCGTGCCCGGTGTGTCTCTTGCCCTTGCCCAGCCGCCTGCCTGCCTTCGTGGGTGCCGCTGTCTCAGCCATGTGCCACGTGGCTTCCTCTCACCGTCTGTTCCCAGGAGGCCACCCAGCTGTGCCTCCAGCTGCCGTCTGTGCGCAGACATGCGGCTCAGACTTGCTCCTCCGGCTGGTCACCCCCACCTTGCCTGGGTGTCTCCAGACCCAGACTCCCCGCACCCCCCTTTGGCCCCAGGTGGTTTTCACTGCGTCCCGTCCCCCTGCATGCAGGCTCAGCGCCAGAACCTGGGACCATCCTGGATGCCTCCCTTAACTCCTTCCCCTCACCCCTGCTGCCATCCCTTCCGTCCCTGAATTTGCGCTTCTGCGTCCGTAGTATCTCCTGCGGCCTCTCTGCGCCACTCCTGCCTCTTCTGGCCTGTCGTTTCTCGCCACGACTGCTGCAGTAGCTTGAGACTCCACATGCCTCAATTGCTGGCCCTCCCAGGAGCGGGACTGGCTGCCTCAGAGCCATCTGGAGAGCTTTCCAGAAGCACAGCCCTTTGCCCCCGACCCTGAGAGCACCGGGATCCATGAGTCTGCCTTTCACAAACAAACTGTCCCTGGATCCTGACATAACCTGGTACCTGGGAGTTATTTCTGATGGTCTTCCTGCCTCCTGCCTAGTCTGTGCAAGCCTGTCCTCTGCCTGGGTGAGGAGAAGTCATTCGGAGACACGTGTCTGGTCCCCGTTATCCCTTTGTTCAAGCTCTCAGTCCCTGGGGTTAATATCCAAAGTATATGAGGAACTCACATAACACCAAAAAAAAAAAAAAAAAAAAAAAAAAAAAAAAAAAAAACCCAAACAATCCAATTAAAAAATGAGCAGAGGACATGAACAGACATTTCTCCAAAGAAGACATCCAGATGACCAACAGATGGATGAAAAGATGCTCAACATCACTCATCATCAGGGAAATGCAAGTCAAACCGCAGTGAGCTGCCGCCTCACACCTGTCAAAATGGCTCAAATCAACACAAGAAACAACAGGTGTGGGCGAGGATGTGGAGAAAGGGGACCCCTCGGGACCTCGTGCACTGGTGGTGGGAATGCAAACTGGTGCAGCCACTCTGGAGAGCAGTGTGGGTGGAGGTGCCTCAAGAAATTAAAAATAGAGATGCCATGTAATCCGGTAACTCTACTACCAAGGATTTACCCATAGAAGATGAAAACACTAATTCAGAAGGACACTCGCACCCTTGTGTTTATTGCAGGGTTATTTACGATCGTCAAGCTACGAACAGCCGTGTCCACTGACCGATGAATGGACAAAGAAGTGGTATACATACAACGGAATATTACGCAGCCACAAAAAGAATGAAATCTTGCCATTTGTGACAACATAAATGGACCTTGAGGGTGTTATGCTCAGTGAAATAAATCACAAAGAGCAACAAATACTCTAGGATTTCGTGGAATCTAAAACACAAACGGTCCAGAGCACACATGTGGTTGCTGGAGGAGAGGGGTGCAGGGAGCAGCGCGGGGAGAGCGGGTCCGGGGAGAACAGCCACAGCACTGTGAGTACGGTCAGCTGTGCTGTCACGGTGATGTGTGGTGAAGATGTGTGGTGACGACGGCAGCTCCGCTCATGTGACCACAGCGTCACATGCACACTGCGGGCTCACCGTGTTGTGCACCCAACACTAATGTGACGTCGTGTGCCAGCTGCAGCTAACAGAACAGGACTCCGTTCCTGCCGTGACACCCCG